CTGAGATTCCCAGCATATCCCAGACCTTCAGCGCCTTCTGAATCTTCAAGATAAGGTGGCCCCCGCACACGTGCCAGCTACTGACTCTACTGCTCACATGTCTGATTCCGCTGCTTTAGTCTCTCGTGGTAATTGGAATAATGGTGGACGCGGTCGTGGTCGTGGCCGCGGACAAGGCGGTCGCGGGCCCATGACATCATATGGCCCAGGCGGGCGCGGACCGACGATGTCGTATGGACAGGGTGGCCGAGGACAAAGGCCTCGGTGTAATTATTGCCAAAATCTGGGCCACATTGAAGAACGTTGTTATAGAAAGTACCCTCACTTGAAGCCACCACATATGAACTTTGCTCAAACAGATGTTGTGCCGCCCTCTACCAGATCAGTGACTATTTCCGCTGCAGACTATGAGGCCCTTCTCCAGAAGAGTTCTTCTCAGTCACCTGCTCCAGATACTGGTAATCATGTTGCTTGTTTTTCTCAATCGTCTCTTGGACCCTGGATAATAGACTCAGGTGCTACTGATCATCTTTGTGGTAATAAGGATCTTTTTACTTCCCTTACCTTTTCTAATAATCTTCCCTCTGTTACTCTTGCTGATGGCACCAAAGCTCCTGCTCGTGGCATTGGGCAAGCCAAACCAACTCCATTCTTGACTTTAACCTCTGTTTATTACATCCCTGGCATTCCTTTTAATTTAATTTCTGTTACTCAATTGACCCATTCTCTTTCTTGCTCTATCACCTTTTCTAAACAGTTTTTTTCTATGCAGGATCCGGGTACGGGGAAGACGATTGGAGCGGGCGGTGAGTCACGAGGTCTCTACTATCTGCATGCACCCTCTGCTCCAGTTGCATGCTCTCTCACAGAGTCTCCTGAGCTTCTCCATAGCCGTCTGGGTCATCCAAGTCTCTTGAAGCTTCAGCATATGGTTCCTTTTTGTCAGGTCTTAAGTCTTTGAATTGTCAGTCTTGTCAGCAGGGAAAGCATACTCGCTCTTCCTTTGCTAGTAGAGTCAATAAGAGAGCTGCTGCTCCCTTTTCTATTGTTCATTCTGATATTTGGGGTCCGAGTCGGACTATGTCAGTTTTGGGTTTTCAGTATTTTGTAACCTTTATTGATGATTTCTCCCGTTGCACTTGGGTTTATTTAATGAAAAATCGTTCTGAGTTATTTTCAATTTATCAAAAGTTTTGTGCAGAAATAAAAACTCAATTTGATGCTTCTATTCAAATCTTGCGCAGTGATAATGCAAAAGAGTATGTGTCTCTTGAATTTTCTATATTTCTGGATACACATGGGACGATACACCAGACTACTTGTCCCCATACTCCACAACAAAATGGAGTCGCTGAACGTAAAAATAGACATCTAGTTGAAACTGCACGTACTCTTCTCATTCATATGAACGTCCCACTCCGTTTTTGGGCAGATGCTATTATCACCTCATGTTTCCTTATCAACCGCATGCCCTCTTCTGTGCTAAATAATGATGTTCCCCACAGTATTTTGTTTTCCGGAGCACCTTCTTATCCTCTGCCTTTACATATTTTTGGTTGTACATGTTTTGTTCATGATCTTACTCCAGGTAAAGACAAGTTGACATCCAAGGCCTTCAAATGTATTTTCCTTGGGTATACCCATTTTCAAAAAGGGTATCGTTGCTATTCTCCTGATCTCAAGCGTTATATCGTTTCTGCTGATGTCACTTTCCTTTATCAACAACATTTTCACTCTACTCCGTCTCCAGTGTCACAAGTTGATCAGGTCCTTCCTGTTCCTTTTCTTGACTTGTCTTTACCAGCTGCAGGTGACCCTATTCCAGAGGAGCAACCAATTACCTCTATACCTGCAGATCGTCCTCTCCTCACATACCAGCGTCGTCAGCATGCACCTCCTCCGACTTTGCCTCTTGATGACTCATCGCCCTTTCCCGTCGGCTCTTCTCCTCCGGATCCTCCATCAGAGACTCCTCCCATTGCCCTTCGGAAAGGTATTCGATCCACTCGAAATCCTCATCCCATTTATTCTTTCTTGAGTTATGACAGACTTTCTTCACAACATTTTACTTTTGTTTCTAGTCTCTTTTTTGTTTCCATCCCTAAAACCACAGGTGAAGCACTATCTCATCCAGGGTGGCGCCAGGCGATGCTTGATGAAATGCAGGCACTTCACTTCAATGGCACTTGGGATCTTGTTCGTGCTCCTCCCGGGAAGTCTGTTGTTGGTTGTCGATGGGTGTTCACAGTTAAAGTTGGTCCTGATGGAACTGTTGATCGCCTTAAAGCTCGCTTAGTGGCCAAGGGATACACACAGATCTTTGGTCTTGATTATGGGGATACCTTTTCTCTTGTTGCTAAGATGGCTTATGTTCGCCTGTTTCTTGCCCTTGCCGCCATTCATCACTGGCCTCTTCTCCAACTTGATATTAAGAATGCTTTTCTACATGGTGACTTGCAGGAGGAAGTTTATATGGAGCAACCACCAGGTTTTGTTGCTCAGGGGGAGAGTTCTGGAATGATATGTAAACTTCAGAAATCTTTATATGGCCTGAAGCAATCTCCTCGGGCTTGGTTTAGCCGCTTTAGTTCAGTTGTTGAATCCTTTGGCTTAATCAGAAGCAAAGCCGATCATTCTGTCTTTTACCGACATAGCTCTTCTGGCCAGTGCGTTTATCTCCTAGTCTATGTTGATGACATTATCATTACAGGCAGTGATCAGACCGAGATTGATCAGTTGAAAGAGAATTTATTCAATCAATTTCAGACCAAAGATCTTGGCAGACTTCGATATTTCTTGGGGATCGAAGTTGCACAGTCTAGGCGGGACATTTCCATCTGTCAGAGGAAGTATGCACTGGATATCCTAGATGAGACTAGCATGTTAGGCTGTAAACCCATTGATACACCTATGGACCCCAATGTTAAGTTATTACCAGGACAGGGGGAGCCACTGCCAGATCCTAGTCGCTACCGCCGACTAGTTGAAAAATTGAATTATCTTATTGTGACAAGGCCAGATATCTCCTTCCCAGTGAGTGTTGCAAGTCAATTTCTTGATTCTCCCTGTGACTCCCATTGGGATGCAGTTATTAGAATTCTCCGATATATTAAAAAGGCGCCAAGAAGAGGTTTATTATATACAAATAAAGGGAGTTCAGAGATCTCTAGTTATTCAGATGCTGACTGGGCAGGTTCTCCTTCAGATAGACGATCCACCTCAGGGTATTGTGTTCTCTTCGGAGGAAATTTGATCTCTTGGAAGAGTAAGAAGCAAACTGTGGTCGCCAGATCCAGTGCGGAGGCAGAATATCGGGCAATGGCAAATGCAACCGGTGAGCTCATCTGGCTGAGACAATTGCTGAAGGAACTCCATCTCTGTGAACAAAGGCCTATGAAGCTCATTTGTGACAACCAAGCCGCTTTGCATATATCCTCTAACCCAGTCTTTCATGAGAGGACCAAGCATATAGAAATTGACTGTCATTTTGTTAGAGAAAAGATCCAGTCAAGGGAGATCGAGACAGCATTTGTCAATTCCAATGATCAACTTGCGGATGTATTCACTAAAGCTCTTAGAGGTCCTCGAATAGATCATATTTGTAACAAGCTGGGAGCTTTTGATATATACGCACCAGCTTGAGAGGGAGTGTTAGAAATAATATTAATTTATTATTATTAGAATAGTTTAGAATAGTCTAGATTGTGGGCTTGGCCCATTAGGTCATTCCATTAGGTCTTTTAGTCTCTATAAATAGAGAGCCTCCGTGTACAGACTTATACACTTGAATATACAATATATTTCAGATTCAATTTGTACAATATTAATTATTGAAATTCAACCCTATCAGCTCAAACTCCACTCAAAACATCAATTAAGTTCTAAAAAACCAATCAATAGATAACATAGAAGAAAGCCATAATAATATATGCAAATTCTAGAATTACAAAAATAATTTCAATCCATTCTCATTCCTAAATAGGCACCTTGTTCTACTTTATATCTATGAAGACTGTAATCCCTGAATGCCAACTTTATCAGCCCTCATCTCGATAATTAATGTACAAAAAATTATTTACTATCCCTAAATCTCTTAATTTGTTGTCTATAACCCATGATTGCTGAGGCCCTTTATGGTTAATTAGATTGAAAACATTCTCATTCATTCACCTACATTTACCAGAACAGGAGCACACAAAACCTTGATTGAAACAAACATAAGATAATGCAATTAAACACTGTTATCCGAAATAATGAAGATCTAAGAAAACAAAAATAAAAGACAAGGAAAAAAAAGGTTAATCCTAATTACTTTTCTGTCTCTTATTATTTTCTCTGCAATTCAGGGAGTGGGATGGTGAAGCACCAGGATAATGGGCAATGCAAACAGGGTTTGAGAAGACCTGAAGACTAATAAATACATATATTTAAAAAGGGAAAAGGTGAAGAAGATGAAAACTGAGACCAACTACAATTCTGCAATGCTTCAATTACACTTATGAAAATGGTCACTGCAACCCAACATGTACCAAGAGCTAAAATTATTCACCTGTCATGGTGCCAACATTTGGAAAGCCATCAGGGTGATCAAAATGAAAAGACTCAGATCTGTGAACTTCTAAGATTGTATTTATGACTTGAAATAGGAGTAAGAACTTCCCCCCAAAAAAAGTGGGCAGAGATTACCCATGAGCCAGAACCCATCTCCTTGAAAAGTGAAGATTGTTAATTCCATTCAGAAGAAATCGATCAAGCCCTGTTCAACAAAAACACCTCAGCATCCCATCACTGCACAATTATACACAAAGCTCCCTGATTGCTTGCTGGCAAGCAGATTCCACTGTGGTGTGCCTTCGCCTGGGACACAAGCATTAACCTCAATCACCCTTCCATCCAAAGCTCTTGGACCACCAATAACAATTAGGCGATTTCCACATGCTCGAAAGGCTAATCCCCAACCATTCATTGAAACTATCCGATCAGGCAATCTTCCAATAGTGACCCATGAGTTACTATCTTTATAATATCTCCTTACCTCTTGTTGAGCATAATTTGCAGCATACAATACATTATTTACAACTGCAACCAAAGGAGGTGCCTCAGCAGCAGCTGGCATCTCAGTCACCCCGGATCCTCCATTTCGCCCAGGGAACATGTTAGGTATTTCACGCCATTTTCTTGTCTGCAGGTCAAACTCCTCACCACATGTTAGCTGCTTTGAGTTACCAACTCCAATCCCACCAATGACATAAAACTTCCCATCTATAAATACACCTGAACACATTTTCCTTGCTTTTTTCATGTTTGGAAGAATCTCCCAAGTTCCAGTTTCTGAGTTATAAAGCTCAGCTGAGCTCAAGATGTTGCCACGTGGATCACAACCACCAGCTAATATAGCAACTTCTCCAAGGCTGGCAGAACCAAACAAGCATCTAGGAACATTCATTTCCATACCAGACGACCACGAGTTCATCAAAATGCTATATTTGTAAATGACAGGAGATATTATTTCCTTTCCAAAAACAAGAAGCTCCGTACCAACAGCCAACGACTCCTTATCTGAACAAATAAAGCATTCATTAGAAGGCATTCTAGGCAACCGCATCCATCGACCGCGGTTTGGATCAAATGCTTCCCATTCAGGGAGATTACAAGAGAAGTAAACCCAGTGTTCTATGATACCCATCTGCCGCCTCAGCCTATAAAGCTCTCCACTGCGAATTAGAGATCGAAAACTCTGGTTCAATGAGGCAATCGAACCATAGTCCGACCTTGAGCATCGTAGGAGACAATTAATTGAGATGTCCCTCCCAAGTTGGTTGATAAGTGAACTTGAGTCAGACTGATCACCTGTATGGTTTTGGTCATTCGATTGGTTAAAGTAAAGGGAACGATCAAGGATATTTATCTGTGTTTCCCCTTCCTTAGGAGCATCTGAAAGCTTGCAGGACTTTCTCAACACAGCTACTTCCTCTACTTCCAATGGACGCTTATTGTTTGCATGCTCAATCACACGGAAAGTATTGTGAATCCACTCAGTCTCTTGCTCACATGAGCTTGGTAAGTCCCTTGAAACGAGAAAGGATGGACCCTCCAACATGTCGATGGAAAGAATCAATCTGGTTACAAAGAAGAATCTTGTTTCCTATCCATCAATATTAAATAAAACATTAGTTAGTTAATAGGATAGATAACTCCAACATACCGATGAAAAAATTGATTACAATAAACATATGGCATTTTTAAGCTAAAATCAAGAAACCACAAGCATCAGTTTTACATGCGCCACAAAGAATACCCGTCAAAACACATGCAAATGTTATATCAATAGGAAATTCAAAACAATAAGACATTCGGACAATCTTCACCGATTAATTGAAAATGCAAGCTGAATCACATACACCCTCTTGTAAGTCATGATTTGGCACAGAATTTAGCGAATGCACACATAGATCAGTAACACAACTATGAACATGGAAGTGGTGGCCACAGCCAACCACGAACGACAATGAGACTTCAAAAGAAAATCAAAACCAGATTTCCAAAAATCAGATCTCAGGAGGTGACTCAGCAAAGGAATCTATTATCTAAGAAAGGGGAAAATTTTGAAAACTAATCGGATTAAAAATAAAACTAAAACCAGAATCAGACTGACATCATGCATGTCCAAATTCAAAGCCTGAAGTAATTCATATCCAACAAATCAACAGAAAAAAAAAAGATCAATTGAAATTTACATTGGCAGCAACCCCATATCCCCTTTTCAACTTTTAAGTCCTGAGATTGAAAAAATCAACAAAGGCTACGCAACAAGAAAGCTCAAAAGCAAAAACAATCAGTTGAACACCCCCCCCCCCCCCCCCCCCTCTCTTAAAAAAACAAAGAGAGAGAAGAAAAGCTTACGAATTTAGATAAAAGATAAACGAAGTGCTAATGGGTTTCTTGCGCTTTCTCCAGCTTTTGGTTCTGTCTGCAAATCACGCATAGACCCAACATCGTCTCTCTCTCTCTCTCTCTCTCTCTCTCCCTCTCCCTCTCCGTCTGTGTCATTTGGTTTTGGTTATGTTCGGTGTCGTTGTTGTTGTGGTGTGCTGTGTCATGTGTGTGTTTTGTGTTGTGTCAATGGAACACGCAATCGGGAGATTTATTTATTTATAAAACGCGAAAAAAAAAAGACAAAGAAAGAAAGAGAACGAATGTGGGCCCTACAGTGAATGAGAATAAGTGGAGTCGCCGTTTAGGATTGTGGTTTGCGGCCTGGGCTTGCTAAGCTAACGGCTGTTTTGGGCACGTGTTGCAAACTTGGTCTTCCATTAGCTGTTCCTCTTTTCTTTTATGCTTCTTTCTTCTCTTTTTCTCTCTGTCCTCAAGTATCATGAGTTTCTTTTTGCTCATCCTTGTTTGCCTTTGTCTTCTCCAACTTTTGGAAAAGATTATTTTACATCCCTCTTATCTTATTGTTGATTTTATTTATATTTAGTTTTCTTTTTAATTTTTTAATTATGGAAATCATTTAATTCAAATAAGTCAATAAATAAAATAAATATAAAATTTATTAAATACATCAAGTTGATAAAATTATATAATTCAAAAAATCATATATGTTTTCGCATCTTAAATAATCATGTCACAATGGTGTTTTCATTGACTAACTCTTCATCATTGTCCTCTAATTCTTTTTTTACCTTCTAGCAGCAATTCTGATCTTGAATAGCAAATTCACACTTTTCAGCGGCAACTTCAACACCGTGTGGCCATCTCTAGTGGTGTAAATGAGTCACACGACTTGTCACGGACTTATAGCATAGTCTGTCTTTGACTTGACTTGGCTTGATCCATTTTAAAAATAATACAGGTATGTGCATATTAAAATACATCTTTAGAATTCAGGCCACAAGCCTATTTTAAAAGGTAATTAGTCTCTAAGCATGTAGGCGTGACTTGAATTTTTTTAATAAAATATTATTTTATTTTTTTCAATCTTTTTTAACCATCTTCCTATGAATTTGGTTATTAAGGTTTTGAGGGAATAAAGCAATGTTATATTAGCAACCTATGAATATAATTGATTTCTTGCTCTCTCGTTTTTATTCATTTCTAATATTTTTTTTTCTATGGTCGTATTATTAAATATGTACAAAGAATTATGTGGCACTAATATTTTTTCATTTTGTTGAGTGGGTGTTATATGTATATGTATGTATTTTCATAAGTAACCTTTGCATATTGCATTGTTATGTTGACTGGTTGAAGGCTAATTTTATCTTTTTGTTTTATTTACAAAAAATGTTAAGTTTCATTTGATATATGATATATGATATCTGATTGTTACTCACATTCATTTATTCAAAATTGTTCTCTCACTCACTTTGATATTCTATTGCAAAATCCCTTGTACAAGCTCTGCCGAGGTTTCACTTTGATAGTCTCACCAGAGATCATCAATGCCCATTCTCGATATCTCTAGACTAGGAACATATTTCTGGCAATGAATGTGTGGTGTCATTGAGCGTTCATGATCGTGATCCCTATCACAGATCCTCAATGTGACATATGTTCCATAGCAAGGGCTTTATCCAGTTACTCATATTCAATATAAATATATAATATTTGAGACATGCAATATGAAACAAGTTTTATTCATAACAATAAAGAAGTACATAGGTCCATCTAACTCTCAGATTATCTGTAGGACACCTATATACTAACAGTATCGTACGGTACAGTATCGTATCGTCTGATACAAATCCTTTTCCGATACACCCCACGATACGTATCCCTAGGTTTGTGATTCATAACATATCGTACGAATTATATTGTATATCGTATGATACTGATAACTATGCCCAAGAAAGAGTGGTTAAGTGGTTTTAAATCACTTAAGAGAGGTAAAGAGTTGATGGGAAATGATGATACTTGTCAAGTAACAGGTATTGGGTTTGTTAGCTTCAAAATGGATGATGGGACAGTCAAAATCCTAAGGGATGTGAGACTTGTTCTCACCATAAGGAGGAAGAATATAATATCCTTGGAGATGTTAGACTTGAATGGATACACCTTTAAGAGTGAGAAAGGAACTCCAAAGATTGTAAAGGGGTCTAGGGTGGCTATAAAGGGTAAGCTAGTCAATGGTTTATATATTTTAGATGGTGAGTCTGTGGGATTGGGATCTTGCGTGGCCTTAAAGAGTTCTGATTTTCCCATTCTTTGGCATAAAAGATTAGGGACATTAGTAACCAAGGGTTGCAAGAGATATGTAAGCAAGGGATCCTTCCTTTAAAGAATTTTTCCCTCTTGACTTCTGTGAAAGTTGTATCCTAGGGAAATCCCATAGGCAAAGCTTCACAGCAGCCAAAACTCAAACAAAAGGGACCCTTGATTACATTCACTCTAATCTTTAGGGTTTTCCTAACATTCCTAGTTCCCTTTTGAGTTGCCACTACTTCCTCTCCCTTATAGAATCCTATTCAAGGAGGGTGTGGACCTATTTCCTTAAGCAAAAAGATCAAGCTTTGATTGCTTTAAGGAATGAAAGGTTGCTGTTGAAACTTAAAAATGCATGAAGGTTAAGGTACTTAGGACAGATGATGGTCTTGAGTTTTGTAGTATTCAATTTTCAGATTATTGTAAGGAACATGGTATTGCTAAATATAGAATATGTGTTGAAACACCTCAGCAAAATAGAATAGCTAATAGGATGAATAGAATAATTTTTAATAAGGCTAGATGCATGTTAACTGAATCTGGATTCGGTAAAAAAATTTGGGCAGAGGCTGTTTCAATAACATGCCATGTTGTTATACAAAAAAAAAATAACATGCCATGTTATAAACAGATGTTTTGGAATAATAGAGTTCCTAATCTGAACTACTTGAAACCCTTTGGGTGCTTGGCATATGTACATTTTAAGCAAGAAAAGCTTGGGCCATGAGCAATAAAAGTTGTTTTCATTGGTTATCCTAAAGGCACAAATGATTTCAAGTTGTAGTTGATTAGTGAAAAAATATATATAATTAGTAGAGATGTTACTTTTGATGAGCTAACTTTCTACAAAGATATTTTGCAGGATGTAACAGCCTGTTACATACCGGTATTGTTAACATAGATTATGATATTAAGCGCAGTTACAATCACAATAGTTTATTTAAAATACGAGTAAACTTTTTCCTTTTTCATTACGTAAGCATTTGAAAACAATATAAAGCGTAATGATACAAACTGTGATCATAACTAAAATCTAAACGCGGAAATAATATTATACTTCCTTAACTATCATACAATACTTATTTTAAGATGCTAAGAGGTTCCCATAAACCAACTTAGCCTAAAACTCACTTTTACGGTTTTCCTAAATCTGAGTACGCTTTTGTCTTTTCAATATTGGGTGTGATCAACACACTATTAATTTTTCTTCTTTTATTATGTTAAACTAGACTCTATTAACTTTTCAACAAGGTATCACAACCTCATTTGGAGTTCTCTAGCTCCAGTTATAACCGTTTGAAGTTGGAAAAGCAAAGCTGCCAACCAACTCCAAACAGCTCATTGAACTTGGCCAGGTACTCGTCAACAGACAACGAGCCCTGCACCAACCTGTCGAATTCCCCCTGCTTCCTCTCCTGCGCATCATAAGGGAAGTATCGACCCAGAAAGCAATCCTCGAAGAATGATCATGTCATAACATGACCCTACATCTCAAAAGCGTGAGAGGTGTTCATCCACCACTCATAGGCATCGCCCTCCAGCATATACGTGGCGAACATCAGCTTCTGTGGATCAGTACACTGCATCACACGGAAAATATTGTCCAGCGCCTGAAGCCATCTCGCCGCAGCAATAGGATCATAAGACCCATCAAAGGAAGGTGGCTTATGCTTGCTGAAAGCATTAAGCCGGCGATCAATCACATCACGGTCTTCAGCAGGCTTCACATAGGGTTCCATCACCCCAGTGAGTTGACCAGTGCCCTCAACATGGCTCTGGCTCTCGCCCTGAAGACTAGATGGAGGCGGCGGTGGTGGCAGTGGAGGTGGTGGCGGAGGGAACTGACCAACAGCAGGACCCGCCTTCATCTCCTCCAACATGACCCTCATCATGGTCATGTTCGCCAGCCAGTTCACCTCAAGAGCATCCTCCGTGGCCTTCTAGTTCACTGCACGAGTGACGTCCATCATTGCCACGTTGGCCAATCTAGTGGCCTCCTGCATCTCAGCTAATGCAGTCAGGATCGGGTCGGGTTGACCCTCAGCAGTCTCGCGAGTTCTCCTGGGTATTACCATGACTCTGCACAGTTACACAAATTATGAGTTGATTAGGCCCACGCATTGTGATCACATATGCATTATCATAATAACACTCAACGGAGCAAACACACAAGACAAGACACAACCAAGCATCCTAGTTATTGCAATAGATACAGGCTTTTCTCTAGAAAGTGCTCTGATACCATAAAATGTAACACCCCGTGTTAACCCGGTTTGTTAACATGTCATCGTATTAAGCCACACTTAATTAAAAATGCGGAATATTCTTTTTCTTTTCAATTATGATGTCATTATTCTTCCAAGTTGAATTACTTAATTCATTTTCAAAACATTGCCTGTATGTAAATGCAAAAGACAGACATCTATACTGAAATAACCTCATAACATAATTAAGATCATTAACTGAGTCTCTAGTCACGACACTACTACACGTAAGCCGGACAACCCTAATAGTTTATACAACCCAAATCTAATCAACAACATAATCCAATGTGGCATGGACAATCCCATGCTCACCAAATAAGGCAACAAGGCCCAACAGCAGTATCAACAATAACAGCATAATCATAAAGATAACATAACAGCATCCAGCATATAATCATAACAGCAGACATCTAACTCAGCTCCGGCCTCCTGCCGCTAGAGGTCTCAACCCGCGCATTACCTGAACCTGAAATGTGTGCCCCAAACGTGGGGTGAGATCTCTAAAAACAAATCTCAGTAAGACAAGGGGTCCTCAAGGACTCTTCCGCCCCAAGCTCACTTACAAGTTTAATATAAGTTCAAAAGCAGTAAATTCAATGGATGTTCATGTTAAGACATTTATATCATGACA